AGCGACTTAAATATAATAAAATATAATGTTATTCTTGAAATATTTATTTTAGTTTGGCCTCCTCATAACTACTTCATATATATGTTCGATTTTTAACTATTATTTTTCTATATGTTTCGCGTAAAATTTTCTCGTCTAATTAAAAGTTTAACGCGTTCAATGACAAAACAGTGTGTCACAACTGTTGCTGCCTTTTATATTCTCAGAGACATAAATATGTATGTATATGTAGGTGTGTATACAAACATATAAGCACATACAAATGAACACACATTCGGATGTACAGGTATTTATGTGCATCACAATTAACAACAACAACAGCTGCAACATGTTGAGCAGTTGTATTTCGAAAAGTTTTGTGACCATCAATAGCCACAGAACATATCAACTACGTAACCGAGGGGTCGACCATTGTGCAAGTATGTATGTGCAACTTCTACTTTTAGCGGAAAACGGTTTGTTACTACTAGTTTCGAAAGTTTTACACGTGTTTGCAATTTTGCAATTTGTAATTACCACAATTTTCACGCACTTGTTTCGTAATAAAAGTTTGTTGAAAACAGCGGTAGTTAGACAATCGATAAGGTGGTAACTACACTGAGGGGAAAAAAATATTAAAATCAAATATAAACGTAATTGATCTTAATATAAACGTCAGCGGAAGTAGTGTAACTATATTGACAAATATTCAGTTGAATTACGCGCATATTAAAATGGCCGCGTTCGTTCTGAAAAAGNAATATCCTGCACTTCGCAAATACTTTTTCGAATTGAGGACAAATAAAAGGAAGATCGAAATTTCATATTATCATTTTGAAGTTATGTCTGGCGGAGTTCGAATATGGGACCACCTATAGCAGAATATGTAAACCAATATGAAATGTGATAACAGAAAAAAAAATAAAATTAAGTAAAATAAATAAAATATTTTGTTTTTCCTATTGATATTTTATGTCCAAAAGTAGTTAGTTACAAGTTAGTTACATCAAATGCAGAGGTAACCATCCTTGACTATTTCACGGCCATCGCCATAGAAATATAGTTAGTTTTCGTCAAAGAAAAAAAAAACGGATAATAGTGACTTTTAGCTTAATGAACTTAAAGATAGCTTATAGTTAGATAACACTTACATATACATACTCAGATGTGAACAGTCAAATACGTGCGTAATAAATTTTAGTATGAAAATATTATTTTTAAATATGAACATTTTTAAACGATAATCAAATATAAAGTATTCACTTTTATCATACATTATTTCCCGCAGTGTATGGCTGGGAAATTGAGTTCATATATTTGTATAGCAGTGCACAATTAAGTTCCATCATGTTTTTAAATGTGAATGACTAGTAAATCACTTTGCAAATATTTATATATTCATTAGCATATACATACATACATATGTATATATATGTAAATACGCAAGCTTTGCTTGGAGATCATGCACCAAGAGCATGCAATTTTTTAATGATTTACTCTCAACAAAATCCCTAAGTGTGAACACAATTTTTGCTTATAGTGAAAACAGCGTTAATTCATAAAACTTCGTAACCGCAAACTAACTGCTCCACATAATAATCCTTTAAGTTGGCATTACGAAAAAAGAGATTACGCAAAAACCAAATGCAACTCAATCAGTTTATATAAAGCTTCTTGAAAGCAATCAACAAGGCCTGCATTGTTAAAATAATTGATTTCTTGATGCGTACAAGCGGCTTAAATCAATAAAGGCGAAGGCAAAGTGCAAACATAGTTTTCTCATTTATTGTGGTGAGGCAGAATTTTGAGAGTATGGGGCTAACCACATTTATGCATTTATGCTGGGTAATTTTTGATTACGATTACATTTCAATTACGATTGCCATATTATAATCCTTAAATTATATACGATTACTATTACTTTAATTGTAAACATATTTAAATGTTACCATTATGATTATAATAATTGTAATCTTGAAAATTTAAGGACTATGATTACTGTAATAGTATCTAATCATGAAATACATGACAAATAGACAAATGAGCTTATCCGGGATTCTGGATACGATGAGTGTTAAGCGCTGTGCTTTCGTGGCGAGGCACACTGCCGTCAGCGTGTGTATCGCACTACTTTCTGTATACTATGTACGATTATTCGCTTTTTTCCATATTTTGGAATTGAGAAAAAACCGGGTAAATCGGTTTTATTTTACATAGTTTTCATAGAGTGAAACTGCTTATGTTGCAATGAAGTCATGACCAAATATATATTACGCTAAAACTATTAAAATTAAAGATAACTTTTACATATTTAGACAGCAGTAAGGGCAAAATAAGTTCAAAGTTTTTCTTTAGATCAAAAGTAAAGCAAATAAAAATTACTGAAAATTCACGTTTGGTCTTATTTTTTACTTTTTTGTTAATACTTTATTGCATTTTTTCTGACTTTTTTCGATTTGAGTAGTGCTATTGCCGCTTTAGCCGAGTGCTTAGATGTGCCTACTGCCACACGGGAGGTCCCAACAGCATCAAAAAAGGTTTTTTAAATAGCGTACACCCTTCGGCAGACAATGACAATGTCTTCTGCCATAAAAAATCTTCTTCGAAGCTGGAGTAAGAGTGTAGATCTCCGCATTTACGGGTGTCCCTTAAACTGGAAAAAGCCTTGAAAACTTGGAAATGAAAAACAGGCTTTGTTCGATAAAAAATCCGGTCTATCCGATCAAAACTTAAAAAAACCGCCTATAGATATCAAAAAAAAAAAACACGGTGAAAATCGGTTTGGAAAAACCGAGTGAATCACCCTACTATATACACGCATGTATCTCAGACATTGTTCTGTGGCGTGCACATCGGCTTGAAATACAGCGTTAACTTGCCACATGCTAGTGAAAAGGAGCCTTCTGGCCAATACCATGGCCAGAAATGGATCTTTCAGTATACCAGATGGAGCTTTTTTACAGAGTTTTGGTTATGTATTGGTTCAGTTGGTACAATTTGGAGAAAAAATCTCTTATGTTTGTTAGTGAGATTATAACTCGAAAAACATTAGTCGACGGAGCTAATGCGTAGTCCTTCCTTTTGTTCGCGTAGCCCTGAACAAATGAAGCCTTTGTCACACAAAAGCCAGCGTAGTCGTCTGCTGTGGTAGAGATTACTCTGCCCTGATTGGGTTCTTTTGCTGCAGGGAAACGGACCCTTTCCTGTTCTAGAGCGAAAGTTCTGGTTCTAGATTTAAAGTGCTTGCTATCCACAGGCATGTGGGTAAGTCCTTCCCTTCGCGCCTTCGAAATTGTTTATTATAAAATGCGCCATATAAACAAATGCACCTTTTACAACCACGAAACAACCTCCACGCCAGTCACGTTGGACGTTCCATAAGATTCACTTAAAAAATATACTTAGGCATACTTAACTCTACCTTTCATTCGGTTACGGTTATTTACTCTGAAAAGGGGTTTTTACCAGCATTATAACGATAATTGATTGTTGTTTCATTTTTGATTTTCTGTACAATTTCACCACATTAATAAAGGTGATAAACTACACGTGTGAAAATGTATCAATGCCCAGAGCCAAGGTGCCAAAGTGCCAAAGTGGAAAAGATGAAATCATGTTTAAAATTATGTACGGCCGAATGGGAATTGACTACAAGCAAACTGGCCTCGTAGTTGAATTGAATGGTTGTTGCACTTACAGGTGGTTTATGTGTATGGGGAATGTTGTGATTTTTCCATACATACATACATATGTATATTGTAGTGGTCTTTGTGTGCGCCAATAGCGCCTGTCATTCAATCATTCAATCACTTAACAATCAATGTGTCTGCTGGTGTCGATGAATGGTGTCTTACAACAGGTAATACTTTACCAGCTAACGATTGACTATGCCAGCATTGTAGCTTGCTGTGGGCCATATATTACAGTGCGGCAAATTATAAGTATGTACACTGGCAATCAAAAGTGAGTGCATGGTGTTTTTTTTAATATTTGCAATGGTTTTCAAGTTAAATTTTTATTTTTTATTAAAATATGGTTCATGCTTTAATCAAAACCACATAAGTGAAACTTTCAAACTTTATACAGAACTTAGAAAAATTCAACAAGTTTTCGTCTAAATTTTGAACTCGCGTTGATTTTTAATGATTTTTTATTGCTGGCGGCTTTTTGCACTTTTTACTATATAAAAGCGACCGTTTGCATACAGAATTTAAAAAAAATTAATGCTATATTTTATAAATTGCACTTGTTAATGCATAAGACCGCAAAACCCGCCGGAAAAAAAATTAATTAAAAATGAACGCGATTTTTTAGCCGCTTAAAGCTTGCACTTGTTTTACTTGAATTAAAAAACCGGTATATCCGCGTACTCAAAATTTTTCTAAAAATTCTGATTAAAAAGTTCAAAATTTAGACGAAAATTTGTTGAATTTTTTGAAGTTCTGTATAAAGTTTCACTTATGTGGTTTTGATTAAATCATGAACCATATTTTTATAAAAAAAAAATAACAAAAAAATTTTAACTTGAAAAACATTGCAAATATTAAACGGAAAACACCATGCACTCACTTTTGGTTCCCAGTGTATGTATATGAGAGCATTAGAACAATATTTCTGTTGTATGTCGATGAGTATACTTAAAAGACATGCACATGCACACCATTTAGTAATTATTTCTGAGAACTAAATTTTTTTTTGTATCTATGTATGTATTTACATTTGAAAAAAGCAAACAAGAACTTGGTAGCGAATCTGAAAAAGCTGTCAAAACAATATACAATGAAAGCACAGCTGCTTATAAAAACTATAGTTTAACAATAGCGAGTATTCATTTATTTTTCATTTATTTGCACTTGCAGATCACTCATACGTTCCGTTGTACGCCAAAATACATACATACATGTGTACATACATTTCGTTATGCAAGCAATATTCACAAAAACAAAACACAGTATGAATGTAGTAAATAGCTAATATTAAATACATATTTGCACATGCAATCCCCCGCATAAACGACTCACCTCGCACTTGACTGGCAATAGCCCTGTGATCCATTTTGATTGAGTTTCGATTTCGACCGGTCGGCGCGCTAGGTCGGGGCAATTATTTAGATTTGGGTAATAAACCGACCGGTGAACTGATCGTAGGAGAGACCAAATAAAATCGAAAGAGGATCGATAGTTGGGTGGCGGGGGCGGAAGTGCTGGAACTCAATTGGATAGGTGCAGATGGGCCGACACGAACTATGACTCACATCGAGTGTGTTGTTTGTGTGATTTGCATAAATACACTCTGTTAAACAAATAGCAGTTGTTGGTAGCGTACTAAAGTAAATGTTTTTAATGTTTCAACACACTTAACAATATCGAATTCGCACTGCTAGTTTTTGCCAATTTTTAATTATTTTTTTTTTTGTACCTATTTATTAGCGTTTTATTGTTCCTTCTTTAGTTAAATGGACGGTCGGGCACTCAAATTATTTTATTGCTGTCTACGGTGAATTTTGCGCCTCTACTAAAATAAACAAAATACGTCTACGTGTGAAATTGGGTTGCTTCCAGTTGATCTCACATTTATTTGTAGTTATTTGCAAAAGTNCCCGCTGTCAAAAAAAAAAAAAAAAAAAAAAAAAACTCTTGGGAACCCTTGAATATTTATAGCCTTGTATCAGTAAGGGAGAAACAATAATAAAAAACACTACTCAAATTGGCGCTACAATTAATTGAAAATAAATCACTTTTGCTTCCTCTTCTTTTCGCACTTACATGCATACATACATATGCAGTTTCCTAGTGTTTTTCCAAATTCACGCGAATTGGAGGGGTAGGAGGGTTGGCATACAGATTATAATTACATAGTATACTCGGCGAACAATTGCCTTGTGATGTGAAAAAGACCAATGACATTGACAAGAAAATATATTTGCACTGTGTGAGAAAACTACGCAACACAACACCATTGCCATTTATGCGCTCAGCAGTGGTGAGGTTGGTAACTGCCTGTGGTGCTTTGCTAACCGAACCGCATAGCCCAATTGCTGGGAATGTGCGATTGGTAGCGCAGAGAATCTCAGACGAGTTGGCTTGTTGCACCGCAATGCGGTTGACTTTGATTTGCTTCTATTTGTTGTAAGAAATGCATGTGATTTATTAAATTTTAATTTAATACAAGTTATTACATTTAAATATAAAGAGCGACCTCTTGCCGCAATGTTGTTTTCATGTACATATGTATACAGCTAGGTAACGAACATGGCGGAAATAATTCGAAGTTCGCACAGATGAGACAGCCACATCGCTTGTGAAAATTCATTACAAAAACATATGGCCTCGAATGGTTGCGGAAATTTTTCAAACCCCCTTCTATTGATACCCATATTTTAATAATTCATTTAACTTATTAAATACTTTGAATTTAACTTTTCAAATAGGTGGCAACCCTCTTCCAACACCTCAAAAATATTCTTAGCAACCCTCTTCAAAATATTATGAAACTACAACTTTCTGCAAAGCCTTTCGTTTGGCACTCATATGGTGATACATATTTCTTTACCTAATATGATTGATTTTTTTTAAGTGGCAACCCTCCTATAGTTCAGCTAAAAAACGAGTCTTTTCAAAAACATTTCGATTGATACCCATTCACCGACGATATAGATTATATATGTAGATATTTCAATTAAATAAATTGGCCTGCGACTTGCATATGATTTCTCATTAATGTGATTAGATAAAAAAAAATTGTAAAAGTGATCTTTGTAAAGAAGTTAACATAATCGAGTTTTTCGTTCAAATCATTAGACTGCATCACCAAAAAAGTTGCGGTTTTTCCGCCGGGATTACAAAATTTATTATATTTTAAGAAGTCCACCAAGATATTTCGGAAAAATATTAAGATTTACGTGAGCTGGGCCGATTGGAAAATACCTCCAAAAATGGAGTTTTTTTATGAATAATAAAAGTTTCTTAACGAACTTTTTTTAAAAAAATTCCTCTCAGATCACAAAACAGATTAAGGGTTGATGCATAAACATAAATAATAAATATATATGAAATTTTAGCTTGATTAATATATTTTTAAAAACTTTACAGCACATAAACAAAAACAAATCGATTTAATAGTTTCTCGAGAGCGGGGTGGGGAAAAAATTTGAAAAAAATCTCACATACACACATCAAAATTCTCTATGAAAAGAAAAATTTTTTAATTTTTTTTTTGAAAAATTTTTCGCACACAAATTTTTTGATAAAAAAAATTTGTTTTTAAAAATATGCCATCTCAAAAAAAAAACTGAAAAAAATCACAATGGTAGCTCTGAGTATTGCGCAATAGTATTATAGGGTGCACTCTACAATAATTTGAGTTATGAATTTTTTTTACACCGAAGTTGAGTAAAATTAGTACATTACAAATTTACAAATTTTTAAAAATTTTTTTAGAATTTCTTTAAGTATGTTTGAGTAAATTTTAGTTTAATAAAGTGCAAGTTTGAAGCTCCTGAAAAATTGCGTTGATTTGTAATATGTTTTATGCTGACGGCGTTTTGCACTTTTTCCTTATGGAAGAAAATGCGCAAAACCGTTCTCAAAGAAAAAAAAATTACGCCGGTTTTGCAATCGCTTAAACTTGCACTTTATTATACTAAAATTTAATGCGCTACAAAACTACATACTCAAAAAATTAAAAAAAAAAGAATGTAAATTTGTAATGCACTCATTTTTTTTTTGAGAAGACATATTTTTAAAAACTAATGTTTTTTTCAAAAAACGTGTATGTAAAAAATTAAAAAAAAAATTAAATAAATAAAAATGTTTAATTTCATAGAGAATTTTGATGTGTGTATACGTGAGTTTTTTCAAATTTTTTCCTCGCCCCGTTCTCGAGATATGTGGAAAACTAATAAATCGATTTGTTTTTGTTTTTGTGCTGTAAAGTTTTTAAAAATGTATTAATCAAGCTCAAATTTCATATTTGTTTATTGAGGCATATTCTGGATTTCGTACGAATCGAAAATTTGAAATTTTTGTATTGAAAATGGTAGGAATATTTCATGATTTTCGATTCGTACGAAAACATTATTTATGTTTATGCAGCAACCCTAAAAATTTGAAACAAATCAAACACATGAAGTGTGAACCCCGTCCGTTTTGGTTTGGAACACCCAGCTGTCAGTTAGTTAGCTATGTACATATGTTTAACAATGCTGTCTATTGTGGAATTTCCCACATATTGATGTTGTGTGATATTGGACTAAAACAATGCATCAACAGTGTTGATATTACGTATACCTTTTGCATATTCATATGCAAGCACACATGTTTGTATGCATGTACATATGCATGTGTGTACACCAGAAAGAAATGCACTGCTGTTCTGCAATGGCATGCCGATGTGTGTTGGCGGCGAGAGTTCATTGAATGACATGAAAGGAAGGTCACACACCGATAAACTCAACGAACGAGGTGGTGACTGCTGTGGCGATGGTGATGATGGCAGAAAATACCAAAGCAGCCAACAAAAGTCCAAGTGAGGCAATGCAGCTGCAGATTGGTACGCGTGTATGTTACGCTAGTTGCTGATGCTGCAAATGTTTTACTCGGCGCACCATAGTTGCAGTGTTGTAGGGCAAATCTCTATGCCAGCGAATTGCAATAGAGTGCACCGTGGAAACAGACAGACGGACAGACGGATAGACCGGCAGCCAGGCAAGCAGGCGGATGACGTTGTTACGTGACGAAGGACGTCGTGCTCCCATTTCTACCGCTGTTTTACTCTATTTTTCTCTTTTTTTAATCCAACTATTAATTATAAAGTTTTGCTGCGATGGAACGAAGGAACGAAGCGGCAAAGTAAAGATTAGAGTTGAGGTACACAAATCGGCATAGTTTAAGAATTTCTTGAAAAAAAAGGGGAAAAAAATGCTATAAGAAAATGAGCGGTTATTTCATAGTATTCGCCTAAAAACTGTTCTACTTTAAAGCGAAATCGAAAAGAGGTTTATATAGCGCAATTTTTAGTATGTAGTAAAGTAATTAAGGAAGCAAATATGTGTGTAGCTTTCCTGCGTCAAACTGTCTTTTACTTCTTTTTTTCAGAAGTGCATTTTTTTTATTTTTTTATTTTAGGATCTATGTATTTGTAAATAATTATTGTTATAAAATGTGTCTACTTTTTTCGTCAAATTCGCATACGACTTTTTTTTTACTTTTTACTCCAAAGCGGTGAGTCACCTTCTTAATTAAACTTTACGCATCACTTTACTGTTTTCGGTTTGGTCGTCTTGTTGTTGCGTCACAATGTTAGCAGAACCGTTAGATTTAAATTAGCACAGCTAGGAAAACCATCTGCCACAATGGCCGTTTTATAAGTGGCTCTTTTTAACAGAGTAATTAGTTACGCTACGGCGAACTTTATAAGCGGTAACCAGATAGCGCGGGATAAGTACAGAGAGACAAAGAATTTTTCGAAAAAAAAGCAAGACAGAGATTTGTTGAAATTCTAAGCTTAGAATATTTGCTTTGATTTTTGCTCCGCTATTTTCGTGTTGTTGAACGCGTTGTCTTTCAAACACTAAATATCAAATGTGAAAATGCAAATGAAAATGAAAGCCATTGTTGGCCATTTGGCTTCGTTTGGTGGATGGTCGTGGACGCATTCGTCAGTGCGTCGCCTGGTGCTTTTCGCATTTTCCAATCACTTCATTCATAGTGACATCCATAGCCAGCCACAGTCTGTACGTACATATGTATGTAGTTATGACATACTTCGTATTCGTATTCGCATTCGCATGCTTTTCGCATTTGCGCTCTCAGCCACTTTTCTGGTCTTCTTCTTCAACAGTTTTTTTTTGCGCTTTTGCTTTCCATCAACTTCGCTTCGCTTTTGTGGCAAAAATATGCATATTTATGTAGACGCATATAGAAAATACATAACTACCGACCACCCTCATGAGCCTCAACTGTACATACATACATATACGAGTATTATCATTAACAGAGTTTGACATATGTACATACATTTAACTATATACTCATTAGCGCCCGCAAAAGGCTCTGTCGCCAAGTAAATACCTTTTTGCTTCATTTAATACATCTTTTTTTGTTTGTTTCGTTTCCTGCTTCGCTTTGATTTTCATTGCATTTTGTTGTTGGCCTGTTTTTGTTTTTCTAATGTTTTCGCCTTTCTAATTACTCTTCCTTCACTCGTTACAATCCAGTGGCTCTCCTATGCTCTCTCCTACATTTTTCCAGTTGTTCTCAATTCTCTGCCTGCCTCTGTAGTTCTCTTTTCTGGAAGTATTGCATTTAATCATTCTTGTTGTACAAAAAAAAAAAACAAAAAAAAAATCGTCTCGCACACGTGATTTCATTGTTTTGGTTTGCATATAAGCCGCGTAATCGACCTCTGTTTGCTAAGTGTGTGGGTTGTTAAAACGTTTCGATTACTTAGCCAAGTCAGAAAGTGTTTACCGTTAGAATTTCTTCATT